AGAAAAAAAGAGAGAAAGGGAGAAAGAAAGAAAGAAAAAGAGAGAAAGGGAGAAAGAGAGGGAGAGAGAGAAAGATAAAAAGAGATAGAAAGAGAGAAAGAAAGAAAGAGAGAAAGAGAGAAAGAATGAAAGATAAAAAGAGAGAAAGAGAGAGGGAGAGAGAGAAAGAGGGATAAAGAAAGAGACAAAGCCAGAAAGACAAAGAGGAAGAGAGACAGAGAGGACGATAGACAGAGACAGACAAAAAAACAACAATAACAACAGAAGGTCACACTAACTAGGCAATCAAGCAAGATACAAAGACTGACAAAAACAAAAACAAAAAATAATAATAACATAAAACCTAACAAGTATTTTTTCGGCGTTAGTTAATTACATTATCGTCATTATATGATAAGTCTAGCATTAAAAAATATATATCATTAACAGAATGAGGTTAAATACAAAGGGTAAAATACAAACAAACAAACAAACAAACAAAATGTGAATTACATCTCTTTTTTTTCATTTGTTTTTCACTAAAACTGAAACATCACTTTTCATTTCATTTTTTTTTTATCAAATTTCTTTCTTTCACTTTCACTATCCATTCGTTTCTTACATTACTATCTCTCCATTCATCTTTTCTTGTTCTCTATTTCTCCTTTCTTATTTTTCCAATCCTTTCCTTCTTCTCTATATTCTATCTCCTATTCTACACCTTCTTACTATCTTTATTCTTTCTGCTTATTGATTTTTTTTCTGCGTTACTCTCCTCTTCCCCTTTCTGTCTTCTTATCTTTCCTATCTTTCTTCTAATCTTTATTTTAGTTATTTGCAATTCTATAGGTCTCTTTCTGTATGTCTATCTCTCTTTATCTTCTCTCTTTCTCTTTCCTTCCTTCTTTCTCTCCCTCCCTGTCTTTATCTCCTTGTATCTTTCTTTCTTCCTCTCCTCTCTCTCTTTCTGTCTCTTTCTCTCCTTATTTTTAAGCAATTCTGTGTCTGCATGTCTACCTTTCGTTGTCTTCTCTTTCTCTCTCTCTCTCTCTCTCTCTCGCTCTCTATTTCCCTCTCCCTCCCTCCCTTCCTCCTCCTCTCCCTCTCTCTATCCCCCCCCAATACCTAATCTCAACACCCTCGTATCACTCCAATTGCAAAGCTCTATCACTACCCTGTTGCAGTGTAGTGACGATGACAGTAGACGAGTTAACGAGTGTAACATCCATCCCTACATTGTTGCATCTTTTATTCGTTATTGCACTGTGCTTCATTATGTCGACTCCTTAACGACGTCATTAACTATTTGTCGTTGTGAAATGATACAGCATTTTGCGGTCATTTGATTAAAGATTTAGTATCAGTTGCAGGTCTCCATCTTGTTTCTGTCTATCATTTTGTTTCTCTCTATCATCTGTCTATCATTTGTTTCTGTCTATCACTGTTGTTGTCTACCATTGTTACTGTCTATCATTTGTTTCTGTCTACAATTATTTCTGTGTATAATTTGTGTCTGTCTATTACTGTTTCTGCCTATCATTGTTTATATCTATCAATTATTTCTGTCTATCATTGCTTCTGTCTATCATGGGTTAATATTCCTGAGGAAATGGTCATTCTGATTTTATAAGTTCCATCTGACGTAATCAGTTATAATTATCGTCATTGTAATTTTTTCCTATTATTATCATTTTTGTTCATAATTACTATAATTATCCATGTCGTTATCTTTATATTATTGGTGTTGTTATGTTATTGCCATTGTTTTTGTTATTGTTATTATCATTAACATTATCTCTATTATTATTCCTATTATCATTATTATTACCATCTTATTATCATTATCATAATAGTTATTATTATCATTAACATCATTTCTGTCTTATGTTTGTGTTTCTTTTCATTATCACCATTACTATGTTCATTTGCGGTTATTACTATTATCATCATACTCTTAATTATCCTTATTAACACTATCATGATTACTATTACTTCAATTTTTCAGTTACCATATCGTATTTATTTTTCCCTTTGTTTCTCGTTTATTCCCTACTATGTTCTTCCTTTTCTTCTTTCTTATTTATCTTTCTTTTTCTTTCTCTTTTCCTCTCCCTATCTTTTTTTTGTCTGTCTATCTATGTCTCTATCTCTGTTTCTGTCTCTCTGTTACACTTTCTCCCTCTCCCTCTCTTCCTCTTTCTCTCGCCCTCTGTTTCTCTCTCTATGTTACTCTCTACTCTTTCTCTTTTTCTTTTTCTCTCTGTTACACTCTCTCCCTCTCCCCCTCCTTCTTTCTCTTTTTCTTTTTCTCTCTGTTACACTCTCTCCCTCTCCCCCTCCTTCTTTCTCTTTTTCTTTCTGTCTGTTACTATCTCTTTTCCTCTCTCTCTCTCTCTCTCTCTCTCTCTCTCTCTCTTCTCCTCCTATACTACGCCCTCCTCTCCAGCATTCCTTCCTCCCTCTCTTCCATTCCCTTCTTCCTTTTCTTCTCTACCTATTCCCTCCTTTCACAACTACCCTTTGCCTCTTTCCTGCATTCCTCTCCTCCAATTATTTCCTCCTTCCTTCTTCCTTCTTCCTCATCCACCTCTCTTCCCTTCCTTCCTTCCTATCTTCCTATCTTCCATCTCCTCCTATCACACACCTCTACATTCCCTCTTTCCCTCTTCTCTCTCTCTCCCTTTCCCTTCCCCTTCTCTCCTACCCCCTTATTCCTTACTCTTTTCCCTCATATTCTTGCTCTTACCTTCTCCCTTTCTCTCTCCCCTTTATCACCTATCCCTTACTCCACGTTCTTACCCCTTTCCCTTTTCCTCTTCCCCCTTTTATTTTTTTTCCTCTTTTTCTTCTCTTCTTTCCCCTTCTTCTTACTCTAACCCCTTTCCCCTTTATGCTCTTCTATTTTCTACCATATATCCTTTATTCTTTACATTTTCCTCTTCCCCTCTTCCTTCTTACAGTCTTCCCTTTCTCCCTTTCCGCTTACCCATTTCCCCTTCCATTACCACCTTCCCCATTTCTCCCTCCCTTTAACCTTTCTTCCCCCCCTTTTCCCCTTTCTCCTTTTCTCTCTTCATTCCCCTTTCTTCCCCTTTCTTCCCCCCTTTTCCCTTTTCTCCCCATTCCCCTTTCTCCTGCCCCCCTCCCCATTCCCTTTCCCCCTCTCCCCTTTTCTCCCTCGTCTCCCCTTTCCCCCCTTTTCCCCCTTTCTTTCCTTCTCTCCCCTTCCCTTTCCCCTTTCCCCCCTTTCCCCTTTCTTCTTCCCCCCCTTTTCCCCTTTCTTCCTTCTCTCCCCATTCCCCTTTCTTCCTTCTCCTCCCCTTTCCCCTTATCTCCCCTTTTCTCCCCTCCCCCCCCCTAACCACCGTCCCTTAATCCTTCCATTGATTCGGCGCCTGGCTTCCTCGGACCCGGAACCGATCTTGAGAAACGGCCGGCACTCGAATCTCCCCCTCCCCCCCCTTCCCCTCCCCCCCCTCTCTCCCTTTCCCCCACTTCCCCATTCCCTCTCCCTCTTCCTCTCCCCTTCCCCCCTCCCCCTCCCTTTCCCCCCACTTCCCCATCCCCACTCCCCCTCCCTCTCCCCTTTGTAAAGTCCTAAGACAAGACGAGCATACCTAATGAGAGGATGGGGGGGGGAGGGAGAGGGGGAGAGGGAAGGGGGTAGGGAGGTAGGGAGGTAGGGTGTTGGGTGTTGTGTGTGTGTGTGTGTTTGCGTGTGTGTGTGTGTGTGTGTGTGTGTGTGTGTGTGTGTGTGTGTGTGTGTGTGTGTGTGTGTGTGTGTGTGTGTTTGTGTGTGTATGTGTGTGCGTGTGCGTGTGAGTGTGTGTGTACGTGATTCACGTTCGCGTATGCGTGTGAGTATGTATATGGCGAGAGAGGAATAGAAAAAAAAAAAATTGTGTACATGATATGTTTGCCTTTTACGTATGACAAGCGATACAACAAACAACAGTGTATCAAAATTAACATCTACACACAACCACAGTCCTGTCTCTTAACACCTTAACACACACCATCCAATAGACAAGCCAACATTAACACATTTACAAGTACAATATCAACAGACAGACGAACAGAGCTATACGAAATGATGCGCCTGGAAACCAAGACAGAAAATACGTTAAGATTACGAACTGTTATGCAAAATTACCCTCGTTATTTGCTTTAAAAAGGTAATGGGGTTTATGCTCTACCCAAGCTAAGTTTCAAAATGGCGCACCCTGACTGTCGCTTGGGTAATGCCAGAATGCGAGAGGGTATATCGTGGATTAAAACCCAATACAGAGGGATTTTATCTCGGTGTGAATTTGCATAAAGGTGAGGGTGATTTAGGGAGTTAATGAGGTACGATTAGTTATCGATAACTACTCTTATAGGTCGATTTATATAAGAGTTGTACGAAAGAATTAAAAAAAAAAAACAAGATGCACGGATATGGGTATAGGTATGATTGAAATTTCTTCATTATATCATGAACAAAAAGGTTTGTTGGATGAATACTTATATACCTTAATGGACTAACTGTTATCATATCTTAGGGGGATTCCAACATCCTAAAACGATTAAAACCAGGTCTGACAACCGTCTCTCTTAAGACTGACAATAAGAGAAAAAAAAATGTATTTATTCACCAAAGAGAATACGACACAGATTCATACAGAAACATGAATATATTCGGCAGACCAAGACCTGTCTCGAAATTGATTTTTTGGCCGGTCTATTTTTTTTTTTTTCTATTTTGTCAACCGGATTCGAAAGGTTGTGTAACTATAAGACTTCCTTCTGGGTTTTAAGAGGAGCGACGGGTAGCCTGAGCGCTGTTCTCCGTTCGCCGGCATGAGGGAGTCCACAGGTATTCTAAAATACATTTGTTACCCTCTTAAATCCCTTGCGAGGCAGTCCGGAGCGAGGCACTCTGGAGATTTCAATGTTCCTACCTTTTACAAAATCACAAATAGAAACACACGTACTAACAGTTCGCCTCACTCGTCTCTTGGAAAAGCTGCGTGTGTACTTACCACCAAGATTAATCCCAACGAACACAAGTAAAATCACCCTGGACCACGACATGGTCTTAGAACTGAAAATTGGACCAGCAAACTGTCCGTAGACTCGTCGCGACAGTCG